CTCTTGGCGTGCTCGGTGTAGGTGACGGCGTCACGGATCACGTTCTCGAGGAACACCTTGAGGACACCACGGGTTTCTTCGTAGATGAGACCAGAGATACGCTTGACACCTCCACGGCGAGCAAGACGACGGATGGCAGGCTTGGTGATACCCTGGATGTTATCACGCAACACCTTGCGATGACGCTTTGCGCCACCCTTTCCGAGCCCCTTTCCTCCTTTGCCTCGTCCGGTCATGATGCTGGTTTTCTTGCTGAGAGTTAGCGAGATGAAAAACGGATGGCCCCACCTCGGGTAAGGCTACCGCCGCGCCCCGTCTGCGTAGCGGCGAGGCGGCCGACTCAGACGAGCGCTTATCTTAAGTGACCGCTGTGCAAATACAAACTTGCCTAGGCCTTGTTATCGACTAAAGGTCACGTGCACAATACTTTCAATTGATTGGGCCTTAGTCGTTTGTGGCATCCTTCGACTTGGAATTCAACATAGCATCACGGAGGCTGCATTACAGGACCTGACGTGTGCCGTATCTCTGGCAATATTTACACAGTAGAAATAGGCGGGCTTAAGCCAGACTCTCGCAGCCACACGCGACTCGGCTAGGGCTCGCTCGCTCTCCTATAAATTGACGTCTTGAGCGAGATCGCGTTTCATATCTGTTTAGATACAAACTCGCAAAATGGCACGTACCAAGCAGACTGCACGTAAGTCTACCGGAGGCAAGGCCCCCCGCAAGCAGTTGGCCACCAAGGCAGCACGTAAGTCTGCCCCTGCTACCGGAGGTGTCAAGAAGCCCCATCGTTACAGGCCCGGAACTGTTGCCCTTCGTGAGATCCGTCGTTACCAGAAGAGCACTGAGCTCCTGATCCGCAAGCTGCCCTTCCAGCGCCTGGTCCGTGAGATTGCCCAGGACTTCAAGACTGACCTCCGCTTCCAGTCCTCTGCTGTCATGGCTCTGCAGGAAGCCTCCGAGGCTTACCTGGTCGGCCTCTTCGAGGACACCAACCTGTGCGCTATCCATGCTAAAAGAGTTACCATCATGCCTAAGGACATCCAGCTTGCTCGCCGTATCCGCGGAGAGCGCGCCTAAGGTTTTGATTGCATACCTGCAACACAAAATCATTATCCTCGGCCCTTTTCAGGGCCTAAAGTTTGTTCCCAGAGAGATGAAATGCTGACAAGTAGTGTAAAAGTTGTCAATGTACACAAACTACTAATCCTGATAATTATATCCATACTAATTATATTGACAAGCATATATACATACAAATGTGCAAACGCTACCATACACATACATACATACATGCATACATACACACGCTGTACATATACATAGTGAGAGAAAGTGTATGTTATGTGTTTATCTCTGTATGTATGTATGTATGTATTTATCTATGTTTGCATGTATGTATGTGTTTATCTATGTTTGTATGCATGTGTGTGTTTATCTATGTTTGTGTGCATGTGTGTGTTTATCTATGTTTGTATGCATGTGTGTTTATCTATGTTTGTATGCATGTGTGTGTTTATCTATGTTTGTGTGCATCTGTGTGTTATATAGGTTTGTATGCATGTGTGTTTATCTATGTTTGTGTGTATGTGTGTGTTTATCTATGTTTGTATGCATGTGTGTTTATCTATGTTTGTATGCATGTGTGTGTTTATCTATGTTTGTGTGCATGTGTGTGTTTATATAGGTTTGTATGCATGTGTGTGTTTATCTATGTTTGTGTGCATGTGTGTGTTTATCTATGTTTGTGTGCATGTGTGTGTTTATCTATGTTTGTGTGCATGTGTGTGTTTATCTATGTTTGTATGCATTTATCTATGTTTGTATGCATGTGTGTTTATCTATGTTAGTGTGCATGTGTGTTTATCTATGTTTGTGTGCATGTGTGTTTATATAGGTTTGTATGCATGTATGTGTTTATCTATGTTTGTATGTATGTATGTATTTATCTAGGTTTGTATGTCTGTATGTATGTGCAACTATATATATATATATATATATATATATATATATATAAAGTTTATATATACATATAACTATATATATATATATATATCTATATATCTATATCTATATCTATATATATATCTATATCTATATATATAGTTATATATATGCATATATATATATATATATGCATATATATATATATATATATATATATATAGTTATATATATATAGTTATATATACATATATATAGTTATATAAATATATATATAGTTATATAAATATATATATAGTTATATATATATATATATATATAGTTATATATTTATATATATATAGATATATATAGTTATATATATATAGTTATATATATATATATAGTTATATATATATATATAGTTATATATATATATAGTTATATATATATATAGTTATATACATAGTAATATATATAGATATAGATATATAGATATATATATAGTTATATATAGTTTTATATATATATATAGTTATATATAGTTTTATATATATATATTTATATATATATATATATAGTTATACATATATATAGTTATACATATATATAGTTATACATATATATAGTTATACATATATATAGTTATACATATATATAGTTATACATATATATAGTTATACATATATATAGTTATACATATATATAGTTATACATATATATAGTTATACATATATATAGTTATACATATATATAGTTATACATATATATAGTTATACATATATATAGTTATACATATATATAGTTATACATATATATAGTTATACATATATATAGTTATACATATATATAGTTATACATATATATAGTTATACATATATATAGTTTATATATATATATAGTTTATATATATATATAGTTTATATATATATATATAGTTTTATATATATATATAGTTTTATATATATATATATAGTTTTATATATATATATAGTTTTATATATATATATAGTTTTATATATATATATAGTTTTATATATATATATAGTTTTATATATATATATAGTTTTATATATATATATAGTTTTATATATATATAGTTTTATATATATATATAGTTTTATATATATATATAGTTTTATATATATATATAGTTTTATATATATATATATAGTTTTATATATATATATATAGTTTTATATATATATATAGTTTTATATATATATATAGTTTTATATATATATATAGTTTTATATATATATATAGTTTTATATATATATATAGTTTTATATATATATATAGTTTTATATATATATATAGTTTTATATATATATATAGTTTTATATATATATATAGTTTTATATATATATATAGTTTTATATATATATATATATAATAATAATATATATATATCTATAGTTTTATATATATATAGTTATATAACTATATAGTTATATATATATACAGAGAGAGTTATATATATGTATGTATATGTATGTATGCATGTGTATGTTGCAATCAACACGCTCAATAACGCAAAACATTATTTTGATACTCACTTTGACTGACAGAATAAACAGAGGCCATGATCCACTTTCCTCCCAAGGTCTATCTGCTGAAAGATAAATGAATCAATAAACATATACCACATATAAAATAATTGAGTTGTGTGTGTGTTTGCTTGTGACAAGTAAATCCTAACAAACCCGACAATGACGCAAAACTCATTACTCTATCATTATTACTTAATTTGTGACAAACAAATAAAGTTCATGGTCCACTTTTCTTTTCTCCCTAGTCCTGTCTGCTAAAGAAACAAAGAAATACACTAGTAAATAAATATACCACATATGATCAAACCTACCTTACCTCCTCCTCCTCCACAAGTTAGGTGTTACGTCATGTCGTCCTCTGTAGTTTCTAGGCTCTAGTGACCGATCCTGATTTGCCCATTCCTTGAATAATAATAATAATAATAGTAAATGGCGTCAAATGTATTTTGATGATGATGATACTAATACCAAACACAATAAGATCATACAACACACGTTTCTAAATTCAACGCAAATACTAAACACGCGAGATAACTAGGGTTAATGAATAAATAACTGACTGACTAACTGACTTGTTGGTAATTCATTAAGCACTTGTAGAGCTATCTATCCATGTGTAAGGACAATAAATGATCTTATACTAGTAGTAGTAGTAGTTATTGTAATAGTAATAATAACAGTAGTGGTAGTAATATTAACAATAATAATAATAAGAAGAAGAAAAAGAGTAAGAGGCAGAGAACATGTTACCAAGTGGGTTGTTACCAACGTCATCGTATATCTGCTTTATTACAATATGTGGCTCCTAAAGGAGCCGATGTTGTTCTAGGAGGCAAACAAATGATGCAACCTAGAGATTTACTTGGAGGAAGTGTACTTGGTGACGGCCTTGGTGCCCTCACTAACAGCGTGCTTTGCCAGTTCTCCAGGGAGCAACAACCTGACAGCGGTCTGAATCTCCCGGCTGGTGATGGTGGAACGCTTGTTGTAGTGTGCAAGGCGGGAAGCCTCAGCTGCAATGCGCTCAAAAATGTCATTCACGAAAGAGTTCATGATAGACATGGCCTTGGAGGAGATACCGGTATCAGGGTGGACCTGCTTGAGCACCTTGTAGATGTAGATGCTGTAGCTCTCCTTCCTCCTGCGCTTCTTCTTCTTATCACCCTTGGTGATAGACTTTTGGGCCTTACCGGCCTTCTTGGCAGCCTTTCCGGAAGTTTTGGGAGGCATGATGCTTGTTGGGACAAGGTATGTTTGCGCACGTCAGATTTTCCTTTTATATGGCTCGACACGCGCGCCAGCCTCCGCGTACAGGACCACGACTACTGGCTGATCTGGTGTACACAGAACATGCCAGTCGTCGCAATCTGACTCAGTCATCCGGGGCCGCCTATAAAAGCTAAGCTCCGTCAAAACCGAACATCGGTCAAACGTATGCCACACAACAAACGCCACAGCCACAGCCATAGCGATACCCGACCAACCACTGAGCTCGCTCTTTGATTGCCTGATATCGCTCACCTGTAGCTAGCCTTGTTGTGCCGCTCACGCCGTGCTTTGCCAGCTCTCGCTGAACAAACACCTCTTGACCTGCAAGGTAACCTATGTTACCGAGAGTAAATATTGACAAAGTGACACACAGACGGCTCCGTCAAGCCACCGTGGTTTACCGCGACCTTGACCAGGCCACCCTGTGTGTCACTGACCCCTGCCAAAGGTCGGTGGTTGAAAAACAACCGCTGAATATTTGCGTAGCCTCGGCTATTATCGCATTT